CCGAGGTACTATTTCTGGGTTAGCGGAGTCTGTAACCTGAAGTGTCTGTAACCTGGAGCATATGTTGTTGAATGGTTTCTTTAAATGTAAAGGTTCATCATTGTTCCACTCGATGTGTATGTCTTTAAGGGGCCAGAGCAAGGGCCAGAGCAAGATAACGAGGCCCAGCTTTACAGCTGTGAAACATAGCAGGTGCTGCTGAGTTGTATTTGATTAAGGTGTGTCAGCATTTGGGTGTAGTATATAAGGAGCAGCACCTAGCTCTCCCATTCCCCTGGGGGATGGGTTGGTGGTTGGGTCTGGTTTGGTTGTTAATGTATTTAGTGTAAAAGGAGTTTTTGTTTTTCTTATTAAAACTTTAAGTACTTTTTGAGTCCCTTTTTAATGCATGGTCTCCCCAGCAAGCTCTCTGCAGCGCTACCATACTGCAAACAGCCAACATCTTTAACCCGAGGTACCACTGTAGGCCCAAAGCAGAGGAGGCTTCTGGATGTTAATATGGCAAGCAGCTCAGATCTTAAACGGGGGATTGGCAAAGCTGAACAATGGGAGTTCAAGCAACACGCTCAAGGATGACCTGTGGGAAGCGGCGGATGCAGACAGGCCTGCTGATAACCTTGAAAATGGGGGGAAAGGAACAGGTGAGCGTGGGCGGTGATTGCCCTGGTTATGGAAAATGACTGGCTGATTCACATCAAAGGAAGTAGGTGGAATGCCTTAAAGAGACTGCACGAGTGTGCAAATTTAAACAGTAAACTATACCTGCTATGTAGGGGGAGGATTGTTCAAGGGTTTGAGGGTCAATGGCCTCTTGCTTTTCCAGGAACTCTATTGTAACATCCTAGAAGCCTGACACTGGGTGCTTCCTCACCTAACTGCCCCCTTTCCGGGCTCTGCCTGTCCCCTTGGTGGGTCCCTCTGCTGCCTTTTTTCCACCGCCTGACTAGCTTTTTTTGCGTGCAATGCAGAGGCTTCTGCTGTTGTTGCAGCAGTTGCCCACCACAAGCTGTTACTCTCAGGCAGCAGCAGGGCTGGAGCGCACTATCTGCTATCCACGCTTGTCGAAGTGCACCTGCTGCCACAAAGACAGCATGGTGTCGGTGCAGACGGGCCACAAGTGCTTCTGCAGGACTGTGTGTAAACCACGTGTGCCCTCAGGAAGGAGTGCCAATGCGTCATGCCCACCCAGGTGACATGGTGCAGGAAACAGGGGCACCAGCACTTGCCTGTTGCTATTTGCATAAGCAGAGAGATGGCACTGAGCCTGATGGTGGGTAGCGGAAGTATGGGAGCCTGCAACGCTTACTGCCTGGCGTTCCAGTGCAGGCAAAGATGAATGATGGCAGAGGGAAGGGCACCCAGTGATGTCACAAATGTAGCAGTTTAGAGAGAAGATGGCGTAAGAGAGAAAAGGTGGCAGTGTCCTGTCCAGACATATACACACAACAAAGTCCATGTTTGATTTGGACCGGAGCTTTGCAAAGGCTTTGAATCTCTTTTCAGTTCAGCCATCAAGAATGACATTTGTGATTATGGTGATTATGTTTCTGAGTATGCCAGGACACATTGCTCCCTGAGCATGTATGGAGTGATGATAGCAAACCCCAGGCATGTCTTTTTCTTATTACATGTTGTGAACTGTTGAATGGTTTATTTAAATGTAAAGGTTCATCATTGTTCCACTCGATGTGTATGTCTTTAAGGGGCCAGAGCAAGCTAACGAGACCCAGCTTTACAGCTGTGAAACATAGCAGGTGCTGCTGAGTTGTATTGATGATTAAGCTGTGTCAGCATTTGGGTGTAGTATATAAGGAGCAGCACCTAGCTCTCCCATTACCCTGGGCCCTGGGGGATGGGTTGGTGGTTGGGTCTGGTTTGTTGATGTATTTAGTGTAAATAGAGTTTTTGCTTTTCTTATTAAAACCTCGTTTAAGTTATTTTTGAGTCCCTTTTTAATGCATGGTCTCCCCAGCAAGCTCTCTGCAGTGCTACCATACTGCAAATAGCCAACAGCCAGTGTCAAAAACCACTTTTGTATTTTATGTGAGTGCACTTCTAGATCATCCTGAAGCACAGATATGAGGCAGAGCATTTGTTGATGTTGGCACTGCAGACATGAGCAGAGGAAACGCTCGTGCAATAGTAACTTAGAATATTACTTGAGAGAGAGAGATAGTAATCGTTTGTTTGGGATATCTGTTACTGACCTGATAGATCTGTGTGGTGGGGGCCCACTGACTGCAAGGCTATTTCAATAGCAGAGATGTCCGCAACTACTCCTGAGAATGATCTACTGTGTCCAGGATCTACTGGACACTGTTTTTGAATCCAGTTCATTTCAATGGTGTTTGCATTGGAATAATGTTTGAAATCATGAGCAGGGTATCTTGTATGCAAATAGAGACATATAAATTTAAATCATAGCATGAGCAATTCTTAACACTTTTCCTGTCTCAAGCACGGAGTAACAGGTTTCAGTAAGACTCCCAAATATATGTTTTAAGACTGCATTCTTTCACTGCAATTCATAGTATGGTACAGCTAAGAAATCAAATTCTTAGGGTGTGTAGTTAGTTGGGCTGTTAGCCTATCATAATGAAAGGAACAATGCCTATCTGTGTTGTAAATACCGTCATTCAGTTGAACCTATTAGTTCGGTTTAGGCTTTATGGATTTATGGACTTTCCTTCATACATTCAGTTGTGGTGACTAAAGGTAGAAATCACCTTGCAGAAGCCCATTAAAATGAAATAGGAGCACCACTGCCCTCTTTTGTTGCTCTTAATCATTGCAATGGCATTTATGCAGGTGAGCTTCCCAGTGTATTTGTGCTAAACAGAATTCCAGGCAAAGAGACTGAAAGCTCATTTTTACTGCATATTCTTAGAAGATGGTGTGGCTGTGAGAGGGCAGGGCTGTGACTATCATAAAAGGACCCTGCACTTCTGAATTTGGCACTAAGCTACTGCCGCTACTCAAACTGCATGGGATGAGACTCCAAAGGGGCAGCAGATGCGGGAGCATGTGAATTCCATGCTGGAATTTGTGGAGCAGCTGAGAAGAACAGGGGAGGAACTGAAAGACAATAATTCAGCAGCCCTATTGCTGCACAGTCTTGCTGAATCATAGAGGGCCCTGAGTGGTGCTACACAACGGAAGGAAATTGGTGTCATGACCCCTGAATCTATCTGTGACCTAGATACTGAGTCAGAGCCTGCAGGGTGAGCAGATGCTGCACTGGGTCAACTTCAGGGATCAGAGTTGACTGCTGAAGATAGGAAGGCCACTGAGGCTGTTGGACAGGGAGGAACCTCCCACACAATTATTCAGCCGTAGTGCCATCTCTTTTCCAGATCACCATTCGGGTACCTGGGTTCAACAACACATAAGTATTTATCTCAGGAATTCCCACAATCCCAGCCACATTTCCAAATGCAGGCTGCAAGGGTACATTGCTATGGAAAGCTGGTGCAACACTCAGCAGGGGTGCTGTGGCCCCAGCTCATGCTGCTGGAATCCTCCCCAAGTTGCTATCCAGAGAATGGCAAAAGCAGTTTATTGTGCTAATCATTCTGATTTTCCCAAAATACACCTCAAGAAAAAGAAAAAGAAAAAGATGGCTACTTATACTGTTGGATAGCCAAAATGATTTCTCCTCTTAAATAAAAAAACAATTTAAACTGCAAGTAGTGTGGCGACTGCACATTAGAAAACACACAGGACATGGGAGTCTCACCTAAGGCATTTCATGTTCACTTTTGGGCATTGCTCGAAAGCCTTGTCTTTGATAGCTCAAAGGAAATGTCTGTTAGGGCACACTTCCAAGAAACAAAGGGTGGCAACAGCATTATTTGCTTAGGGTAGGAACAAATATTCTGCCAAACAACAATAGAATCCTGATCAAGAAGAGAAAATTAAGAAACGTTCCAGGAACAAAAAACGAAGGCATGTTATGCCTAATAAGCTACTAAATGAACCTACCCTGTTTCAGTCATCATGTTAGATTAAATACAAAAAGCACCGGAAATTTAATTCATTTATAGCAACATTTAACAGGGTGTGCTTTTGTTATGGTACATGCAGTTTTGTATTTTTATGCTGACGTGTCTCTTCTTCAGCCCAGTGGAACCATGTTTTCAGTACCGTCAAGGACAACATCCAGATCACTTCTGAAATATTTTACTTTGAGGGATACTTACGAAAGAAAAAAAATTAAATAATGAAAGTAAAATACGGTAAACACTTTCTAAGTCAGAGAACAGACAGTTTGAATCATTGTGAACAAGTTGCTTGAGGGTTTTTGTTTCTAAATTCACATTTGAATGAGCTCTAGATAGAGTGAACACCAGGACTGGAATACAACTCACTGTCCCTAAATAGTTTGGGCTCAAGGACAGGCAGTAAAATTTACCACCTAGGGCCCCCATACACAAACACATATACAAACAGCAGATTTCAACAGTTCATAATGCCTTGCATTGAGATTATACACACTGTACCAATGCAAAACAATGTACCTCTCTTACTAACTGTAATACCTGAGAGTAAGCCTGCAAGGAAGCCCATTACAAAAGGGCATTTGCTTCTGCGTTGCATCAGGCAGTGACAGGAATGAAAAAGGGAAGGGGCAGGGTCTGCTTGCCAACATGTGCCACCTTTTTCTTGCTCCACTTCAGTCCAGGCCTGAACCCATCCTTCAGGTATAGCAGAGCACTCAGTGTCTTCAATTTGATGATGTGGCTGGGAGGATGCCTTGTGACTGGACGTCACTGAAGAACAACTGGCACATTTCCATCTGCATAAGAGCTGCCCTGAGCATGTGATTGGGGGCCTTCCATGCTCAGTGACCTTTATAACTACAGGGAAAGCCTATTGTAACATTTATAGAGGGAACTGCTCTGTAGAAAAGCTCTAGTGTGCGCTGGCAACCTACCTGTTGGTTAGTGTGATGTGAAGCAACTGGGACAACTGCCAGCGGGACACAGTCAAGTGACTGGACTATGTATGCTGCTGTCGCCCTTCTCCTATTGACCACTTGCCTGCCCTCAGGATGGATGGTGAAGCAGACGGCCCTGGATGACTACGTCAAGCAGCATGACCCTCACTACAGCTACACCCTCAAGAACAAGGAGGACACGCCAGATGTCACCATCTATACCCTCAACATGACCTCCCTGAAGTGGCTGGATGGTGAGAGCAGAGGATGGCAGTTCTTCGCTTGCCCTTTTCATTTGAGGAGGATGAGAAAGAGCGGGAAGGAAGCCTAACATGATGTGGAGGCTGCTAGATGGGTGTGATCTGCTCTGTGGGAAGTAAGGAAATGTGAGGAGGAGCAGCTACAGGCCTAGTCTCTCCGTGGCTGGCTAGAAAAGGGAGCATGGTCACTTCCCCAGCCTCTGCGGAAAACATAGTTCTGAGGCAGAGATCAAGACATAGGTCCAAGCAGGAAATAGAATCTCTTTAAAGTTGTTAATTCGCACAAATTATTAAGGTTGGAATTAGAAAACTTTGTAAGGTCAAGGTCTGATAAAAGGGTGAAGTTGTCCTGTCTGAGAATGTAATGAAGAAGAAATGATCCACCATCAACAGAACAACTGCAGGGCAATTGGGAGCTAAGCTTTAATTACGGTAATGCAAAGGTTTGTGCTGGGTCATGTGACTTTCTTGGGCCAGCAGCATTCTCCTACCAAATTTCTCCATATCCCAGACGCTTCCAAAATCTGCCCACAAGGAATTGTTCACTTCAGAGCCCAATCCAACGTGAAATGTTTTCACATATTGCTGCATCTTGCTTAAGCACGAGGAACAAGATACATGCCCCAACTTCCAGTCATACTGACCCTTTATCGGGGGATTTTCCTAACTGCTTTTATGATTACTCTTTTTTTACTTAGTGCATAGTTCTTTTGGTGCAGATTCCTGTGTGAATCAGTACACTGTTCTTACTGTTATTTGCAGGAGTGGCTCAACATTCCATTTCCCTTCCTTCAATGCTCCATTTTTTGAGCTACGATTGATGGGGTTGGTGGGATTTGGAGTCTAACAACATCACTGCCCTAATTGATGTTGGGGGGGGGCTGGTGACCTTCCTTTCGCTTCATATGTCCTAACCCTGTGTGTGTGTGTGTGTGTGTGTGTGTGTGTGTGTGTGTGATTTCTCTACTATTAGATAAATATCAGTTATGTTTCTGTGTATCCATTCAGATTCTGAAGTGGATGCAACAGTTTGGTGGCATGAACTGACCATTGTTGTCCCCCAAAACCCCAAAATGACGAACTTGTGTTTGCTGATGATTGGGAATGGAAGAAATGATGATGTCCCTCAACCCATGGACTTAAGGGTTGATGAAGCCATTATGACAGCAAAATCTGCCGGTTTGTAAGTAGCAAAAAGAATCCCTGAGAAATGATTATGACACCAACTCTGCTTTGTTAACACTGTTAAAGAAATTAGTAGCCCTACTAGAATAGAGAACTGTGAAGCAGATGTTTAATGGTAATCTAATCCAATTCACTCTATTCAAGAAAGTTTCTTTATGCTTATTTCTTGGGTTATCTGCCTCTCAGCTCCCCAGTACATATGTACAAATTATGACCAAGATGTTTCTTGAACTCTTTGTCACACATACTCAGATAGGGCATTCAAATCATTTAAGAAACTATGACCATGATTTACTGTTAATTAAAATGGCAGCAAAAGAACAGGAAATTAATATCAGTTTGCTCTTCTCTGAACTGCTGTAATAGTGTGTCTTGATTTTAGCAAATTTTATGACTGGCCCCAAAGCCACCCAGAGTTGTTGGCTCTGGTTGCTTTGGCATCATTGCCTGTCAATCATAGAGCGTATTTGCTTGTGTTGATGTTATTTTCAAAGAAGCATGGAGCACTTTCACAGCCATTGCAGAACAGATACTAATGACTAATACTTTGCTTTGTCTCTGAAGTTGCACAGCTATTTTGAGGCAGATCCCAAACCAGCCAATTACCTACCACGTAAGTGCTCTTCCCACACTCTCTTTCATACTCTTATGTGTGTCCACAGAATGAATTGATTGGGTGTAGGGATGTTCACATCTGACAGTTTTGATTTCTCTCTGTTTCTCATCCACCCACCCACTCAATCAAATCTAAAGTTCAGTTCTCCACAATTACGCAGCCCTCTATGGAATTCTTTTAGGAGCTTGTGAAGTTTCATCAGTATTTTAGTGCAAATTTCTCCTAATAAGCACATTTTGTGTGTGTAATTTCCCCTAATGTACACATTTTTGCAAGCACTTTCCCCTAATATTACGCATTTTAGATGTTATTTTTTCCTAATACATCATTTACTTATTATTAGTTTCCTTCCACACACATCCCTCTAGGCGATTTACAATAACCAGGTAAAAAACAAAAACAACACAATAAGCAGGGGATATATTTTAAACATATGCACATACTAGTCCAAAATAGACACCCATAGCTAAAGACCGATTCATCCAACGGGGAAAAGCTGTTGGAACAAAAATGTCTCCAATAGTTTGTAGAAAGTGCAGATAGTGAGCTGTCCCTGCTCTGTGGAACAGAATTCCTGCTGGGATACAGCACACGCCCGCTCTTTGAACCTTCCACAAACAATAGAAGACATTTTTGTTTAGATACACTTTTCCAGCTGGATGAAGTAGCCTCTGCCATAGATGGTTTATGTTGAATTGTTCTCAAATTTATCTCCAGGCTGTTCTTATTTTGTATGGGTTTTTAAAGCAGCTACACGTTTGTAAATTGCCTTGCTACATGCATTGAAGGATATGCAAAAATAAACAAATAGAATAGCACATGCACATTTGTGTGTGCATTATTTTGCTGGCATACTGCATCGTGAAATCTGAGTGGACAGGTGTGTTTCATTTCACATATTGCTTCAGACAACACAAATGAGAGACATTAACGCTAAAACACAAGCCGGTTTGAATTTCTCCCCTATCCCTCACTGGTATTGTTTTCCAAAGAAAACATTTGTATTTCACTTTTGAGATATTGATCCTCATTCTGTCAAGCAGAATCACTCAACCTGTAACAGAACTGAACGAACTCATTGCTATGCTAGAGTAATAGATCATGGCAGTTCTCATTCCACATGGTATGAGAACCAGGACAGGCCTATCATGTTGTTCTAGGGGACCAGATGGGAGGCCTCAACCAAAAACCTTGATCTGTTTTGCTTCTAGAAAATCCCTATGCAAGAATGCAAGAATGGCATTGAAGATTATGCTGTTTTTTGTTCATGGAGGAAGTTCATAATTGACAAGATGGCACAGCCAGATGTGCTGATTCAGTTCCCAATGGTCAAGGTAACTCTGGCTTCTTCCTTCTTTCTGGATTGGTGGGCAGACACTGCCAACATTCAGGAACATGTTCTGCTTGTTCCCAGCAATGCAGTAATGCTAGAAGAGTTATTTTAAAGGTTTCTTAAGCTGTAATAAAAACCTTAATAGCAGCATGGGATCATTCTTTAGAGGAATTGCGGGTGGGGGTTGGGAGGGAGGGTAGGACCGGGGAGAGTCCCCCTTGTGCTGCTCAGCAGACTGGGAAACAGCTGAGAGTGGTGAAAAAGGGTGTCGGACTCCAGAATAAAATTGATCTTTATTCTAAGCCCCCCCCCCCCCGCATTTTTCCTACTGCTTGGCTGAGCCATGGGAAGGTATACTGTCAACCATGTAAGATTAGGCACTGGCCCAGAAGCAGCCTGGGAAGTGCAGGTTGTACGGTTCTGAACAGGAAATAGGAGAAAAAGGCATGTTTCATGGAGACTATGCATATAGACTAGAGAATCTACATATGCCCAGAAAATGTGCAAAATAAAGTCAAGATACATACATTTTCAACGGTCTGTTTGGGATTATGCATAATGGCCAGATAATGTTCAAAATTTAGCTGAAGATATGAACAATCTGCAAAACCTATTAGGGATTATGTATAATTGCCAGTGATATACAAAATTCACTTGATATATGCACATTTCCCTGGCCTTGCTGGAAATTATGTGTGATGATCACAAATTCTGCACAATTTCCTCTTTGTTGAGGGATTATGTGCACATTCTGCTTGAGACCTGATGAATGAGCACAGTGTTGCAAAGAACTAAACACAGAATATATCAGAGTGTGAAATTAATTCATTTTGTTTCTAGGAGAAGGATTTGTAAAAAATATCAGTGAGCTGATGAGTGCTGATCCTTACATCAGCACACTGTGTGTACCCTCAGTATTGCCTTTGCAAAATATAGGGCGCCCCTGTTAAAGCTCTGAAGACAAACCTCCTTGTGATGGCACTGTGACTATGCCATTCTAACAAGAAAGTATCCTCAGACTCTTTGCAAGTATGTCCTTTGCATTCCAGAGGCTGTAATCCTTTTGTCTTGTCTTCAGGCCACTGTGCGGGCAATGGATACCATAACAGCATTCTTACAGAAAGAATCTGCTGGAAAGCTGAACATTGCCAAGTTCATGTTGACAGGTGGTTCCAAGGTAGGTATGAAGGTCTGTGCTGCTTTGCTTTCCATGTATGTAACTCATCAGTTGCATTATCCTCCTTGTTTTCTTCTTGTTCCCAACCTCATTCTTTTGTCTCTTTTTGGCAGCGTGGCTGGACTAGCTGGCTTGCGGCAGCTGTGGATGAAAGAGTTGTGTCCTTTGCTCCACTTGTATTTGATCTTTTGAATATCATTAAGGTGAGAATCCAGTTTCTTCACAGTAAAGTAAAGAAGAGTAGAGAACAATGAGACTGTACAAAGGGCAATGCGCTATGTGTGTGTAGTAATTCTCCATTCTACAGGATTTCAAGTACCGTATTTTTTGCTCTATAAGACTCACTTTTTCCCTCCTAAAAAGTAAGGGGAAATGTGTGTGCGTCTTATGAAGCGAATGCAGGCTGCGCAGCTATCCCAGAAGACAGAACAGCAAGAGGGATTGCTGCTTTCACCGCACAGCGATCCCTCTTGCTGTTCTGGCTTCTGAGATTCAGAATATTAATTTTTTCCTCCTCCAAAAACTAGGCGTGTCTTGTGGTGTGGTGCGTCTTATAGAGCGAAAAATACAGCACTTAAGCTTTGGCACTTGCTGTATGGAAAGTCTTAATGTACACAGAGAACTCACTTCTGGCTGCTTCGCTTCAGAGCTGGCATCATCAATACCGAGCGTACTGTGGCTGGACATTTGCATGGCGGCACATCCATGAACTGAAAATTACTCAGAAGCTGGACACTCCGCGGTTCAAGATATTAACTTCGCATGTTGATCCACTTGGTGAGCACTTCTTATGTTCTCAGATTTCTCTGATAAATGATATGGTAGCAGAAGAAAGGATAGTTGTAGAAATAGAAGGAAAAGGCAATTTTGGTGGCGCTACAATGCACGGAACAAGCATGGAAGAGCATGGTGTTATTCAGAGGAATAGAGAATGGCTCGACCAAATGAAGTCTTTCCCACTTTGGTGTAGATCCATTATTTTGTCTGGGGTGGGGCAGGGTAGGTAGAGCAAGTAAGCAATCAAGCTGGTCACTGATTAGACACTTTTGCACGCTATCCTTCAACAGCCTGCCTTGAGTAAGTGTTCACTCCCTTGCTGTCTTCCCCCACTCCAAACTTCCAACTCCTTTTCTTCTTCCTCTCTCATTTTTCCACTCCCCCTTCCTCTGCCTCTCCACATTTCTTCCTCTATCAGCCAATTACTGGCTTTGTTAAGCTACAACAGCCACTTAATTAAGTGGTATACAAATTTTGTTAAATAAAAAAAATTTCTGTTGTGGCATGTCATTAATTTTATATAATCTGCCGACTTCAGATTTTGCTAGACTGATTCTGGAAATCAAATGAATATGAGAACTGCTGCAATTTCAACACCTGTGTCCACTGGACAGAATTCTCCCAGGTCCTTACATTCTGCCCCCTTTAGGAATTTGTGATCCTTACGCCATTCTACTTATTCTTTATTGCTTCTGTGCAGTCTTGCTATCCTTTTTATGATGATTTATGATAAAACAAAGTGGTAGCAACCTGAGAACCATATGTTGGTCATTTCTAAAACAGTTAATTTTCCCATCCCCAGCATATAACGAACGATACATAAACAAACCCAAGTATCTAATCATAGCAGCAGGAGATGAATTCTTCCCTCTCGATGATTCCCACCATTTCTTCAATGAGCTATCAGGAGCAAAATATTTCCGGTGAGTTCATGCTGCTGCTCTCATTTTTCCTTTTACTATCAAACAGCAGCCCATGTTCCGCAAAACTACAGCAAGCTAACTCATTCCGAGCCAAGAAAATCTGGATTCTAATTTGCATCGGTTATGTGCATTTAAATGATAAAACCTTTTCTCGCTTAATTCTGTAATGTGTTACTGTTGTGCAATAATTCTGCATAGTCTAATCAAGGACAATGGCAAGGAGCTGTGCAGAATACCAAAGCTTCACCCTTGATAACAGGAAACTTTAGTAGCTCCTGTGGCTTTTGAGACTTTACCAGGCACACCCCACACACTCCCAAGCATAGGACAGGATTCAGCTAACATACACAACCAATGGAAGCCCACACAAGGACTTCCACTGGCACAACAAGGTTTCCCCCCATTTCTGCACCCACTTCCAGTTGGCTGGGGGTTTCAGGAGAACTCCTGGAGCACAGGAGAGGAGATAAACAAACTTTCTTTTTTGGAGGAAGGGCAGAAGTGACCCAGGTTGTTAGGCAGTCAGTGGATGGTGTTATTAACCCACCTTTGTAATTAGAATGATAAACATGCAACCAGTGAACAAAATGCTAGTTCAGCCATCACTCCAATCAACACTGCAATGTTTCTGATGAGTGTCTGCCACTTATTATTATTATTATTATTATTATTATTATTCACTGTGTTTCCATATCCCTCTGTCAATTTGCTTGCCATCTTACTAATTAAGAAGGATTAAAAAAAGAAGTAGCCTGCAAAGCAGTTCTGCCCTCTGATGAGTTGAAACTCGATGACATAAAGGACACCAACCAATGGGCTTTGCGCAAAGGCAGCTTTTGCTGTGTGGTTCAAATTAATCTATTCTTTCAAATTAATACGTTCAAATTAATCTATACTTTAAAATGTTTACAATTGTCTTTACCCTCAGTAATTCCTGGCTTCATTTTTTTGAATCTCTCAAAGAACTCTGAAAGAAAAGCCGCCCAGAGTGGCTGGGGAAACCCAGCCAGATGGGAGGGGTATTATTATTATTATTATTATTATTATTATTATTATTATTATGTTGTTGTTGTTGTTGTTGTTGTTGTTGTTGTTGTTGTTGTTGTTAGACTTACCCTTGCAAAAGCCATGCCAGTTTTACTTCAACAAGTCTTGTTCTTTTATATGCTAATTCTATTTTTAATAAGGGTTTTCACCTAATTTCACCTATTAACTGGCCTGTTACTTCCTAGATCCCCTCTTGATTGCATTTTAAAAGTTGGTGTTACTTGGGCCCATTTGCATTCCTCAGACATGGAGACAGGTCTTCGGAACCAGTTAAATATTTTTGTTAGAAGAACAGCAATTTCACATTTGAGTTCTTTAAGAACTTTTGGGTGGGTAAAATCTGGTGATTTTCTGTTTTTAATTTGTCAGTAGAGCCTAGAACTTGGCTACAGATCCCTGCTGCAAAATTCACAGAGGGTTTGAATTAGAATACTTCCCCCCCGCCACCTGTATATTTTTCTATATGTGTATATTCCAAAGAAGAAAAACCCAGAAAGAGTCAAATTTCTGTGATTAGAGGAAATATGTAATTGCTTTGTCTATTGCAAGGGAGCTATTATTTCAAAAACCTCTCTGTTGCCCTGCAGAGCCACCCCAAACAATGATCACTTGATGACACGGGACCCATCGATTAAAATATCGATTGCAATGTCGGTTATAAGCTTTTTTCTTAGGACCATTTTGAATCTGAAAATGCCCCAAATTTCCTGGAAGAGAACCGAGGTGAGGAAAACTCATGTTGCAACATAACTAATTCAGTCATGAGACTTGTTTTATTATTTACTTCAAGCCATGGGTACACATAGCCTTTTAACTGATGAAAATCATAGTTTATCAAGGACACTCTGTTACGCTCAAGCTTACTAGGAAATTATCGGTATTACTGGAAGCAGGAAGCCTTGGCCAATGTTCCAATAAATGACAGGAACAATTATGACATTTGGCCATTTTCTGAGGGCACTTGGTTGGTTTTGAGCTTTACTGGTACATATTAGAATATTATGACATTTCCTTCTGGCCTTTTAATGTTACATTCAGATACAGTAAATATTTAAATAGGCTCTATTAGTACAGTGGTGCCCCGCAAGACGAATGCCTCGCAAGATGAAAAACTCGCTAGACGAAAGGGTTTTCCGTTTTTTGAGTCGTTCCGCAAGACGAATTTCCCTATGGGCTTGCTTCACAAGACGAAATGTCTTGTGAGTTCTTGCGAGTTTGTTTCCTTTTTCTTAAAGCCGCTAAGCCGTTAATAGCCGCTAAGCCGTTAATAGCCGCTAAGCCGTTAATAGCCGCTAAGCCGCTAATAGCCGTGCTTCACAAGATGAAAAAACCGCAAGACGAAGAGACTCACGGAACGGATTAATTTCGTCTTGCGAGGCACCACTGTATATGTATATGAATGTGCCCCTAGAGGCAAAGCACAAAGAAAGGTTCTTAATTTCAATGAAACTGAAAGGTTCTTAATTTCAATGAAAGCTGTAGGTTGATTTCACACAGACTGTTTCCTGACACATGTTTCTATACTAGCCAGCTAATTAGGTGGCTGCTGTTGAAATGAGATCTTTGGGATCTACGTAGGAAGAACCATTGGACAGTGGTACATGCTTTGCATGCTGAAGGTCTTGGGCTTGATCCCTGATGTTTCCACATAGGCCTGGGAGAGAAACTTGCTTGTAATCACCCTAGACAGCTGTTGCCAATCAGTGTAGACAAAACTGAGGTAGATGGACCCAATGGTCTGACTCCGTATAAAACAGCTTCCTATAGAAAACTTTCATGTCGCTGATAGAAGAGATGGGTGATAGCTTGAGGAACACTTGATATTTCTGTCCTATTCTCTCTTTTTCTAGACAAAAGCTGCGGGCATTATCGAGCTCTACACAGATATGGAGCCTTCAGCAGTTAAATGTTTCTTTTCTAACACTTTGGGTTCTGAAAGGTAGGATTTATTGTGCATGATTTCTTAATACAAATATACAGAGTTGATATAAATATACAAAGAATGGGACAATCTGTTAATCTTGGTTGTATCTTTCTTAAATTCGGTTCTCCACATTTCTGCTGCATTTTGCAAATTACTGATTTTTTTAAAAAATCCTCATGAAAAATTGCCAGCATTTCTGTGTGCTTTTCTCTCAATCTCCACATTTCTGTATGTCGTTTTGTCAAATATACATATTTTTGCTAACAATTCCCGCTAGTGCTTTTTTGTTTCTTATTTTCTTTATATACGCACTTCACCCTAGCATTTCTGTGCACATTACTTGGCTTGAGAGCTGCATTGCAAACTCTGTAGACATGTGAATCTTGAAGGATGTCTGTGTTTTGGTTTCCACATTATTTCTGAAAGTGTGACAATGGAGGTTCGCTTTTAAATCTCTACAGAGAAGCCATTGGGGTGTTCCCTTCCCTAACGCGTGCAGTATTTTCTCTCTGGAAAAAAAAGAAAAGAAAGCAGTCTGAGTGCTCTTTGTGTCTGTGAACAGCTCCACAAAACATTATAGTTTTTATACTTTTATATGTTTTCAAACCTACAAACAAGATTCATAAGGGAACTCTCTGGGTGGATTACTGAATATGCTCTAGAACTTTTGGAATTGGGTTGATGGTATTGAAGAACCATCAGAATGGCTGAGACATCTGAGTAGTAGACAAAGAGTATTTTTAATTGCTTAAACATAACAATCCCTTTTGCTTCAATAAGTGAACTATTGCCTTGGCAGTGGTAAAGGTAAAGGTGCTCCTGACCATTAGGTCCAGTCGCGAACCACTCTGGGGTTGCAGTGTTCCTCTCGCTCTAGAGGCTGAGGGAGCCAGCGTTTGTCCGCAGACAACTTCTGGGTCATGTGGCCAGCATGACTAAGCCGCTTCTGGCGAACCAGAGCAGCGCACGGAAACGCCATTTACCTTCCCGCTGGAGCAGTACCTATTTATCTACTTGCACTTTTACGTGCTTTCAAACTGCTAGGTGGGCAGGAGCTGGGACCAAACAACAGGAGCTCATCCCGTCGCGGGGATTCGAACCACCGACCTTCTGATCAGCAAGCCCTAGGCTCTGTGGTTTAGCCCACAGCGCCACCTTGGCAGTGGTACTTGTCTCCAAAAAGCAGCTTCCTCAGCACTCACTGTGCCGCCTCCTTCCCTTCTCATTCTCAGGCGAGACTTCAGGCTGTTGGTGGGTCCTGGTCCTTCAGGTGTTTCACAACCCATATCTTGGCTTCCCTGCAAGGTTGAGAAAGTGGTAAGAGGATTTGGGATTGGGGGTTACTCCAAGCTTCGTAACACAGTTGAGTGAATCAAACCCCCACCCCTACGCACACAAGAAGGAAATTATTTCCTTCAAAGATGGGTTCTATTGCCGACACATTGAATTAGCCCATTTATTTGCAAAGTTCTTTTTTAAAAATTACACAGATAGTGAGTGTACTCAGTTAGGATAGTGGTGTGGTGCGGGTGTGACATGCACCGACTGGTTACCATTTGTGATGGGCTGCACAGGAAAGTCCATTGCTGTTGCTTCCACCTTAAAGGAGCAGAAGCTCATATGTAACAAAAAGGCCCACTCTGGAACCTGCTGGGTTCCTTTAGAAGAAAGGGGTATACATTGAATGAATAAGTAATCCAAGAGTCAAACAACCAAATAAAATGGGATTCTTTCGTTATATAAGTTACCAAAAACATCCATAGGATGGTTTCATTTCAAAGCGCAGCAGAGTGTATTTCCATCTAATGTTGCCCCAGGAGGTGTCAGCTAAAGAGCATTGTCTTTATGCTGTAGTTCTAAAAAGACCCATGCTAGAAAGTAAGACTCACTAATATATTGGGGCTCATGAGTCTATAGCAGGGGTGGGGAACCTCTTTCGGAATGAGGGCTGCATTTCCTTCTGGGCAAGCTTGTGGAGGCTGCATGCCAGTGATGGGCAGTGTCAAAGGCAAAAGTGAACAGAGCAATCAATGTGAATTCTACCATTGTGCAGTAACCTAGTTTCTTCACAGTCACACTTCTTT